TTGCAGGATACAGGAGGGGGATGAATATCCATGGGGGGGGCAGGAGCAGAGGAAGATATATTGGGGTCAAGTGATGAAGGCCTTTAAATGTTGAACAGAGGAGTTTGTTTCTGTTTTATCTAAGATGTAATAGGGAGCCATTGGAGTTTGTGGAGTAGAGAAGTGACATGCCATGGTCAGATATCACTTATGGTCTTCAGTCTAGAGCAGGGTCCCCACCCCTGCTCTAGAGGATGGACTGAAATAGGGGAAGACTTGAGGCAGGGATACCAATTCAGAATCCATTCCAATAATCCAGTCAAGAAGTGATGAGGGTGCCAACCCTCGGTGGTCACTGTGTGGGTAGAGAAAAGGGGTCAGATGCAAGAGATGTGATTGACAGAAAAGCCAACATTGGTGTCACTAACTGTTCTGGGTGTGTAGTTGTGAGCCATGAAGGATAAAAGCTCTTTGTGTGATCGAGGCTAAACAAAGGGCAACTTCTGCCCCGGTGAGCCCCGGAATGGGGACAAAGGTGGACAGTCTTTAGTAGGTGAGTAGGAGTGAGAGAGCCTGGGCCCCAGGGGTTTCTGGCCCCCTAATAATCCCTTGTGTCTTTCTTCCCTAACTTTATGGAGCTATCATTATACTATAACTCCTGGGAACAGGAGCGGAGCTAGACAAGTGGGTGATTATCCCCATTTCTTAGAGTGGGAAAAACTGAACTGACCACAAAAGCAGCTGGTGAAGTGGCAGGATCTGATGGGACAGCTGAATCTTGCAGTTTAGAGACATCTGCATCCCCAGCCCTGAGTTTTTCCTTAAAAACGAGCATTTTCTTATTGTATCCTGTAAACCTCTTTGTTCCCACACGTTCTGGACCTGTTAGCTTTCGAGCTTGGAGAAGAGGAACCCAGGCTTGGTGTCCCTCTGCCTGTACAAATTAGAGTTTTTGGTTGTGAGAACCCTCTGGGGCCTCATTGTTTATTTCTTCTCTCCCTAGTCAGAATCCCTAACCTCTTAGCTATGTGTTTACCCCCTCCCCGCTTCTCCCTCTTTGGGGACTGAGTCATAGGTTGGAGATTTGTTTGAACAGAGCCAAGAGGCTGTCTGTAATTTGAGGGTGGCTACGCTTCTCCCCGAGAATGTTTACAGGGCTACCTGCCTCTTGATTAGCCCCTGTGGATTTTCCCCTCAAAAAGATACTTCCACTCTTTGCCTTGGAGGTATGGGATCATTGGCCCTTATAGCTAATGGACAATTGTCCCTAAAACTCCAGGTTGGGACGTTCTCTGTATTACGGTCATGCACCATCTGCTTGAGAATATGCATGTAATATGATAGTACAGGGATTATTGCAGAGTTGGGTACTTTTGTGTTTGGGTGAGTTGTTTTGGGAGGGGGGAGATTAGGGAAGAGAGTTGGGGTGTAGCTTGTTAATAGAATAGAGTCTTCTCTGGATTATCTCTGATCCTGAGGGATGATGATCTCTTTCTAGCCATTTGTTTCAATACCTCTTGTTACTGTTAAGTCATCTCAGTCATATCTGGCTCTTTGGGACCCCATTTGGGGTTTTCTTGGCAAAGATACTGGAGTGGTTTGCCATTTTCTTCTCCAGCTTATTTTACAGGTGAAGAAACTGAGGTAAACAGGCTTAAGTGACTTGCCCAGGGTTACACAACTAGGAAGTGTCTGAAGCCAGATTTGAACTTGGGTCTTCCTGCCTCCAGGGCCAGCACTCTATGCACTGCACCACCTAACTGCCCCAAGTTTCAATGCCTTTGTCCCCCTAAACCCTCCTTGTATCTGCTCTGCAAATAGCATCAAGGGGTGGTAGGAAATTAACCAAATTTGAATTCAGAAGACCTGGGGTTCTATAATCTTGCATGAATCAGTGACCTCCCACCAGCCCCAACCCCCATAGACATCCTCCCAGTTCCCTATCAGTAAAATGAGGGAATTGGATTAAGTCGTTTCCAAGGTCTCCTTTAGCTGCAAATCCTATTGATCCCATAAAAGCAAACGGATGAGGTTGGGTCTGTCTCGTGTAGAGGAGCTGGGGAATAAAGAGGTAGCCACAAGGAAATGGAAACTCTTGGATTCTCCCGAGTCTGGCCCTCAGAGTGCTTGCATCTTGCACTGCATCTGGCCTTCGTGGCAACGGCTTCTGTGCAATCCCCATTGCACCTACTAGTGGGATCTGGCCTGGTAGGTAGAAAACTCTTGCGACCCTTCTATCTCTGTTAGCAACTCCTTTGGTGACACCAGCAAAGTGGGTTTATTTACCAGCCATGAAAGATTAACCAAGACAAAGAGGGAATAGAGAACATTGTTTCAACTTCTAGGTTAAGGATAATGAATGAGGAGGGGGTGGATACCTCTTGAGAACGAATGAATAGATTTTAGGGTGTAATTTGAGACTTGTGTTGAGAAGTCCTGAATAATAGGGAGGGGGAAGGGAAGTTAGACTGGATTTTGGGGGCAAAGGAGCAGTTGGTGATATTGATAGAGAAGCTTCCTAGAATCTTATCTTTTCTTGATGCCCCCCCCCCCAATTTAAATGAGACAGCATGACAATAACAAAACATAAAAAGTTGGTGGACAGAAGTTGGGGAATATTTGGAAACCCGAGCAATTCTCATCCTTCTAGGCGATTTTAAGTGTTGTATCCTGACCAGAATCAGCAGAATGGATGGGGTGACCCCACAGGGCCCCTCCTACCGCATGTGTTCCTTGCTTTTCTAATCCAGAGGGGCTGGTTGTGGACAAAAAAATTGGAGTTGGCCCTGGTGGCTGTCAGATACCACTTTTGTTTTTTCCTGCTGACTGGGGATGCCCCGGCATTCCCTAGCTGCCGGAGAGCATGTTTGTGTCCGTGGGGGAAAAAGAGTTGGCGGCAAGTTTAGCTACTTTGAAATTGTTTCCTTCTCATTTTTTCATAACTAAGTTTATGAACTGGAAGTCATAGCTGAACATTAGACATTGCTAGTAAGACCACAAACCAATCTGAGAGTTGGGCAGGACCTTGGTGGCCCATAGGGACCCAACCTAGAAGCCTCTCTCTTAACCTCCCTTGTGATTGATCCTTTGCCTCTTTGGGAATCCTAGCCTCCATTGATGGGGAACCCCCTACCTCCTGCATTCCGGGGACATTCAGGGATTTGACCAAGAACCAGAACTTAGGACTTGTGATTGTCCGTGTGTTGCTATTTTCAGCATAGCGTGTTGTTCTCTTCTGTCACCACACTCTGCCTTTAGTCTCTCAAACACTATCCTCTTACCAATCATTCTGCACTTACGTTATTTCTTAACTCAAGATTTTGCTGAAGTAGCTTTTTAAATTTTTCTGTATTTGCATAAAAAATGCTAGTTTGGAGAGAGGCTTGATTCCTAAAGAAGTCATTCAATTGTTCGCTAGGTTCATTATTGTTAGGATAATTTCTTTTTCTGATTTGATGAATGTCTCCCCCTCCCAAAAGAGAGACCATTTCCATATATAAAGTAGAATAGAAAAACAAGATTATATGTGAAACAGTGAATCTTTATTATGTACAGCTTTTCAAAATCTATAATAAATTCAGCATGTTATTTTCAAAATTGTCCTGCTTATCTGTTTCTTCTGAACTTCCTTCTTCAAAACCATGTTTCAATGACCCTCTTTTCACTCTTTTGTTTTTGGGGGAACCAGCACTATGGCTTCTTTCCACTAAACCCCCCCCACTAAAATAAATAACGAAAAAATCCTTGTAGCAAATAAAATGGTCAAGTACAACAAATCCATACATTTGTCATGTCTAAAAATGCATGTCTCATTCTGCACCTTGAGTCAGTCACTCCTCTGGTGGGAGCTGGGCAGCATGCTTCATCATTGGTCCTCTGAAGTCATGGCTGGTCACTGAGCTGATCAGAGTTCTTAAGTCTTCCAGAGTTGTTTTTCTTTACAGTGATGTTATCACCATGTAAATTGTTCTCCCAATTCTGTTTACATCACTCTTTATCAGTTCATGCTGCTCTTCTCAGGTTTCTTTAAAACTTTGTTTTACGTAGGATGATTTCTGTGGCAAATGATGGCTATAGGTATCACATTCAAGTGCCCCCTATTGTTTTAATTTAGAAATATTCTTAATGTCTACACTCAATACCATTTCAATACCTTCTGTTGGGATGGGAGACTCAATCCAGAATGGTGAGAGGGCCAGAACATTTCCTTTCCTCGGAACATCTGTCAGGTCATGGAGATGAACATAGTGACCTCTCTCAGAAAGGCCTTCCACCAGCCATGTGGTTTCTGGAAACTGGTCTGAGTCAGGGCTATATTGGAGCCATGTAGTACCTGATCTCTTCCATTAAGGCAATGTGAACATTCTCAGACTCGCTCTTCAGAATGATCCGTGAGGTGATCTTCTTGAAGACATATTTTCAAGACATATGTCTTGAAGGCAGAGAATATCTGGGGTTCTAGCAGCCACATTTTCCTCCCTTGTCATGGCCCAATCTCCTTCCTTCCTGATGCTGTTTCTTTTCCCTCTGTCCCTCCATGACTGCATAGAAACATATCTGCTATTGTGGGTTCAGGATTACTTTCCCCTACAAACACTTCTAGTCAAGCCTCAGGAAGACCATGTTTTTGGAAGTAGGGGGAGAAGCCTACCAAAGGAAAATCTGAATCTGTGATTTCTATTAATTTTTCCCAACAAGTATCTTTGCTGATGTTGTTCAGTTTCAGTCATGTCGACCCTTTGTGACCCCTATCTTTGCTGATCCTTGACATATTATAACCTGATCTTCTAGTGGGAAGGATGTTGAGCTTGAGTTCCTCCATTGAAATGACTTTGACATCTTGTTGAGATTCTAAAATTGACTTGATGTTGTTTCTTTGGTGAGGAAAGTAGAAGAATATTTTAGATATTTTTGAAGAAGAGATTTTCTACATTGGTGTTATGTTGAGAACTATCTATCCTGTGCCAGTTAATTTGCTTTGGTTATGTTTTATTTGAACCTCTCCCCTTCTCTCGCTTTAGGCAGTTGGGAAGTCCTACCCAATGGTGTCTAGCAGATCAGTTGGTCGTTCCCTGGCATCAGAGCTGGTAGAGTCCAATGATGGGCACGAGGAAATCATCAAGGTAAATACTGTCCTCCTTCCCTATCACCCTCCCTTTTCTCCCCACTTTTCACTGAAGGTCAGAAAAATGGCAAGGGGACTGATGTTGCAAAAAGCAATCTTGCGGTTAGAAAGTGGGAAGAACTTCCAGGATCAGAGATGCTGGAACAGACAGCCACCTCCTCTGGAGATCTCTAAGACAAGGGCCAGTGGTGACCTGCCTGGCATGACTTGGGTGTAGTACGTGACTGTAGCAGGGGAATGTATTAGATGACCTTCCCAAGTTCCCTCCAAATCTTACATGTTTATTGAAAAACAGGTACTGGGGGGCAGTTGGTGGGCCTGATTTGACTGTGATTCTTTGTAATTAGAATGGTTTCATTCCCCAACTATAGGTTTACTTGAAGGGGAAAGCTGGTGACAAAGTCATCCATGAGAAGAATATCGATCAGCTAAAAAGTGAGGTTCAGTACATCCAAGAGGTAGGCAGCCTTTTCTTCATTGTGGAGAGAATTGTTTTCCATTGAAGTTCTACCAGACTGAAAGCTCCTTGAGAGAAAAGCCTGTCTTATACTTTATACTTCCCACCGTACCTACCACAGGATCTCATGTTAAGTAGGCACTTAATAGATGCGTATGGAATGAATGAATGAAAGAACCAGCTTGGCTCGGGGCCAAGCACAACCTCCCACTGTCTGTGCCCCACTTGGCTTGTTTGTTTTTAGTCTTTCTTTCCTCTTCCCAACCCTAAGTCTTTCAAACTTGCATGAGCCTGTCAAGTTCACTATTTGTGGTGTTGAGTGTTTTTAGTGCTTAGCTGCTTGATTCCCTTCTCTCTTGGGTGATGATAAACTTTTTCTCCCTTCCACTCCCCAAATATCCCAAATCTGTAAGCTGATACTCTCTCCCTAATCAAGTAAAAGCCATGCCTGTCACTTTTGACCCTGCAGAAGTCAAATTAATCAGTAGATGTTTGTTGAGTATTCAGTCTGTGCTCAGGATTATGCCAGGCATATATTATCTGGCTATTGGTTTATGCTATCTTTTTGTTCTCTGTAAAAATCATTTTTTAAAAAGCATGGATTAAAGGCTTGGGTTATTTTCTGAAAAGAACTGGGATGAGGTTAGATGAGAGGCATCATTGGAACTTGAGAATGTAATTTAGAATAAGTCATTTCACATTATCTGTGTGTGGATAGGGGGCAGCTAGGTGGCAAAGTAGGTAGAGCTCAGGGCCTGGAGTCAGGAAGACTCATTTTGCGGAGATCAAATCCTGACTCAGACACTTACTAAGCTGTGTAACTCTGAGCAAGTCACTTAACCCTCTGTACCTCAGCTTCCTCATCTGTCAAATGAGCTGGAGAAGGAAATGGCAACCCACTCCAGTATCTCTGTCAAGAAAACTTCAAATGGCATCACGAAATGTTGGACATGACTGAAAAACAAAAATGTGTGAATAGAATGTATGTTCCCTGAAGACAAGAACTGCTTCATTTTTAGCCTTCTATCCCCAGCACTTAGCACAGTGCCTAACGCAGAGTAGGCACTTCATAAATTCTTACTGATTGATTTGATTAACTAGCTTTTGTTGTTTTAGGTAACGAGTGGTTGATTTCCTCTATACCTTATCATGTTTTTTTCAATCCCTGCCCCATTATTAGTCAGTTTCCAAGGAATGCAGATCTATTATAATGACAACTCAAGGTAAATCTGCCTAAACTAATCCAGGGTGATTTTTTAAAATTATATTATTTTGGTTATTATATTTGGGATTCCCTACAGCATGGCTTCCCTACTCACCAGGCTAGAGAGTCAAGAACTGACTTTTTGTGAGTCAGTGAAGGTATTGGGAACTTCGTATATTCCCTATATTCCAAACGTACCTAATCAAAATATTTGTGCCCCCTGAGTGTCTCTGGACGACATAGGCGTTGTGGTGAATGGGTTGGGAATGGGGACCCTATCAGTGGACAGATCTGAGCATTCTGTTCTCTCCCTCCCCTCAACCTTCCCACTTCCCCCAGCTAAAAATCACTTGCCCTCCCCACCAGGCTAGAAGCTGTTTGCAGAAGCTCCGGGAGGATATAAGCAGCAAGCTTGAGAGAGACTCAAGGGACTTTCCTCAGCAACAGGAGATGCAGGTAACTAATGGGAAATGTCTCCTAGCTCACTCCTAGCAGCTAAGTTCTCAGTGGAAAGATGGGGTTGTATATCAGTAAGTATTTGTGGATCATCTTCTGTGAATCATGTGGTGAGAGGGAGATGAGAATGTAGGCAATTCCGTCCTCAGGGAACTTACAATCTAGGGAGCCAAGGCAAATGTATGCACGCATGCGCATACGTACACGCACATACGTACACACACACCCCATGCCCTGTCTCTTTCTGCATTCAGGTACATACACATAGCTAGGTGTACCTCATTATGCAATGTACTGGTTTCTAAAACATTATATAAAAGTTTAATTTTTGTAAACTGCGTAATTTTCAAATTCACTAGGGAAGCTTGCTATTTAGAGAAATCCTATAATTGCTGTAAAGTGATGAATTTGTTCATATAGTAGAGAATCTCTCCTTAACCTGTTTTCCAAATTCAGATTTTCACATAGTGAATATATAAATAATGCAAGACCACTGGTATAGTTACAGAGCTATTTTATTCATTCATTCATTTATTTATTTTAATGAATTGGTAAAGAGAACTGTCCCCAGGAGAGAAGTCCTTCCTCCACTATCTAGCCCTCCATCCTCTTAATCGGAGTCCGGTTTCGGTAAGAATAGCTGACACTTGTGTATCCCCTTAAAGTTTACAGAGTCAACTCTGCAAATGATCTCCTTGAATTCTCACAGCAACCTTGTGTGAGGTTGATACAGACAGGTGTTACTCTCCCCATCTAGGTTCAAGGTTAAGTCTGACTTGGCCGTTGGTCACCCAACTAGGAATTGGCAGAAATGGAGTTCAAGCTCAGGTCTCCTATGATAATAATGATAATAACGTATGTAACACCTAGATATGTGCCAGGCATTGTACTAAGCACTTTAAAATTATCTCGTTGGATCCTCACAACAGTCCTGGGAGGTAGGTGCTATTATTATCCCCGTTTGACAGATGAGGAAACTGAAGCAAATAGAAGTTAAGTGACTTGCCCAAGGTCGCACAGCTAGTACATGTCTGAGATGCATCTGTCCATCACTCCTCACTCTCAGCTGTTGTAACATCTTGGGTCCTGTATCCATTTAGCCCCCTTTGGGGGCCGATTCTATCTAGGTGGTCTAGTCACCAGGGAAGCTGTACCCATTAGAATCGTGAACTTTCAGAGCTTGAGGGGAGACTTAGAGATGCTCTCTGGTCCAACCCCCTCATTTCGTAGAGGAGAAAACTGACGCTTGGAGAAGAAGAAGGTCTTAGCTGAGGTTTAACAGCCAGTCAGCTCCCCTGACTCTTGTCTGACAAATCTCACCTTCGCTAACGGATGGGAGACATGGAAGGGATCATCAAAACCATCCAAAAAAAGCGGATAATGACAAAATAATTCCTGCTAAGTGTGGACATTACATATATGTATGTGTCTGCAAACACACGTAAAATACATATGTATGATAGATTGTAGAATATGTATGTGAACACATTTTATATATGGTATAGATTGTAGAACATTTGTGCAAACATGTGTAGAGTGTGTATGTATATTTACATGATAGAGATGAATATATGTGCACACACAATATATAGCATATATCATACAGATTGTGGAATATATATGCAGATACATGTGTGTGTGTACATGTGTGCATGTATATGTGTGTGTATGAATGTATGAATGATTCAGATTGTAGAATGTTAGCTCCTTGAGGGAACTGACTGTGTCAGTTTTTCTAACACATACTTATTGCATGTTGGTTGCTGAATTAAATATATAATGCACATCCAGTCCAAATAGGAATATGTGTACATTGCGTGTATATGACTATAATCTGAGATAAAAGCACCATGTTCTCCTGATTACATGTTGTGTAGAGCACACATCTGGCTGCTAAGGGCAGTGGGTAGTCTGGTGCTTTGCAGGGAGGTAGGAAGAACCTAGCCTGGGCCCGAAACTTGGCCACAAGAATTCACCAGCAGATCCCTTTCAGAGCTGTTAACTTGTAAACCTCCCCCACTGCCCCATGTTCAGAAACTCCCAAAGCTCTATGGAGGAGATACCAGGCAGCGGGTTAGAAGGCTGCAAATGCCGCTTTGCAGTATTCTCTTCTCTCGGTGTGTGCCAGACTTTCTCGAAATTCCGGGGGCAGAGGAAAGTCTGAGTATTGGCTGCAAGCAGATGCTTGTATTCGGTGAGCTTCAGGGATTGGGGCCAATTCATAGTTTCTGAGCTGGGAAGGTTTTTGCTGCTTGTTTTTCTGAACGTACCAGTAAGCAATTAGGTCATCCTGCTCTGCTGTCAACACCACCAACCCCCCACCCCTCGCTTCTTGAAAGTCTAGAAAGACTTCTGAAGTCTTGGAGGTCTCTGATGTCTCTGAGAAGGCTGCTCCGTGTCACGGCTGTGCCAGCCGCCTGACTGCCTTTTTTTCTTTGGACAGGTGCTGTTGGAAGAGCCAGATGGCTTCAGGCAGTCTTCCGCTACTCTGTACAAGACCCCCTCTGAGACTCTGGTAGGTAACAAGAAAGGGAAGCTCCCTCGGAGACCCAGACACTGCTTCTTGCCTTGCTGGTGCTGGGGGCACAGAAAGGGCTCACCCAAGGAGCTTGGGGAGCCTTCCTTGTAGAGTGTTAAAAGACATTCTCTTCTGTTGGGTCATTATAGGAAGTGGCCCTTTGTAGATGCTGGGGCATGAGCCACATGCTCTGGTGATGTCCAGTTTGAGGATGTGGTGAGTCTTTTCACCACCCTTAAACAGGAGGCAGGAAAAGGAGGGTAGAGAGTAAGCGTTTATGTAATGCCTACTATGTGTCACACTAAGCACTTTTGCAAATTTTATCTTATTTGATTTGATCCTCACAACAACCTGGGGGTTGGGGGTAGGTGTTTTTATTAATCCCATTTTAGTTGAAGAAAATGAGGCGGACTAAGATTAGATGACTTGCCCAGGGTCACACGGCTAGTAACTGTCTGAGGCTGGATTTGAACTCGGGTCTTTCTGACTCTGTGCACACCACTATGCCACCAGCTGCCTGAATGGGCTTTTTGGAGCCTCTCTCCTCATCTCCTCCCTCCCCCAACTCCCCTTCATCTCTGCATTTGACAGCCGTGTTGGAGTAACCAGTTATAATAATACCTTTTATTATTTATCTAGCCCCTTTCTTCTCACAAGCTCAAAGCTTTGCCAGATATTATCTCACTTATCTTTGTGGTAGCCCTGTGAGGCAGGGAAGGGCTGGTGTTCCTTCTCTCCATTTTGTAGATGGGGAAACTGAGGCTCAGAGAGATTTAAGGGACCTGCTCCTTGACTTGGAGCATCAAGGACTAGAGCACAGGGTTTTCTTCGTCCGGCTGAGTGCTTGAGGAAGGAGACCCGACTCCCTAGCAGCCCCTCGGAGGCTCAGGGCTAAAGACCCTGGCAGTGGGACAGCATAGTTTGGGCTCATGATCTTACATGCCAGCTCAGCTCTAACCACCACCAACCCACGGCTGGGTGTGGCCAAGCTCAAGCTAGGCATTAACCCTTGATGGGTGAGTGTGGAGGAGAGGGAACGTCTCTTACTTCATAGCTAGTCACCAGCCCTCGAACTTCACCGAACTGGCTGTTGGTAGGGGATGAAAAAGGCTTAAAAGACAATGCTGTAGGTCAGGGGTGGGGAACCTGGGATCTTCAGGCCCATGTGGCCTTCTAGATCCTTAAGTGTGGCCTTTTGACCGAATTCGGTCAAACAACATGATTAAACATGTGAGGTCATGCGAGCCCTATTTCCATTTTAGCTGAGAAAATAATACTTGACGTGTGATACCTTAAAGTTTATAAAACTCTATGCCTCATCTCATTTGAGCTTCACACAGACCTTGTAAGGGGAGGAGGCATTGTTACCAACAGTCATTATCTTCATTTTACGTGAAACTGAGGTGGAGAAAATTTTGGTGACCTGCCCATAGTCATACAGCTGGTAAGTGTCAGGCAGGATTTGAACCCAGGCCTTCCAGACTCCAGGTCTAGCTTTCTGGTCCCTCTGCTGTGCTATCTCCCTTATGAAAAAAATCATAAGCATATTTCGTAAGAAATCCTTTTGTAGGAACAGTTCAATGCTGTGTTGAAAATGGATCTAAATGCTCAGGATAGCTGGGGTGAAGGGGCAACCTGGAGGTGGACTGGACTAATTGAGGTTTGAAGGGAGCCTGCTTTGGTCTGTCTGGTGTCTCTGGCCAGTTCTTTTGTTGGGGTGGATGTCCTTTGTAGGGGGCAGGCTGGCCAGTGCGTCTGTTTCCCCCAAGTCTCAAGGATAGTTGTGTTAACTTTTGGGCTTCCCTTCCCTTAGTGTCAGTGATTGGTTACAGGTGCAAGGTTATCAAAATGAAGACTCCGAGAGCTTGAAGAAAACCATCCAGGATCTGCGTGATAAGCTGCAGGAGGCCGAGAGGCAGCAGCGGTCAGACAAGGCGCATTTCGAGGTGAGTATTCCATAGCCCGCCTGCTGCCCATCTCTCCAGCCCACGACTTCCCTCTGTCTGATCTCCATCTTGCTCGTTTCCCCCCCATGCATCATTCCATCCTCTGCTTCCATGAGTTTGCACAAATGGTCCTGGCCCGTGTCTGGAATGCACCCCTTGCTCACCTCAATTATCAATGAGCCCAAAATCATGGAATGAATGCAGCTTTGGGTTCGGAACCTAGCTCACAGGCTGCCTTCTACACAATAATTTTCATGATTCCCCCCCAGTTGTGTTACTATTCTCTTTCGGATGAAATTATCTTGTATGTACTTTCTGTGTGTAAATGTGTGCATCCCCTTCCCCTCCGGTAGAAGGTAAACTTCTTGAGGGCAGGGACTGGTTCCCAGCATGCCTGGCAAAGTGCCTCGGGTACATGTTGAAATAGACGATGTTGCTGATCACTTGTTTCTGACTCTTCATGACTCCATATGGGATTTTCTTGGCAAAGATGCTGGAGTGGTTTGCTATTTCCTTCTCTAGTGGATCAGGCAAATGGAGGTTAGGTGACTTATCCAAGGTTGCACAGCTAGGGAGTATCTGAGGCCGGATTTGAACTTGAGTCTTCCGACTTCAGGCCCAGTGCTCTGTCAACTGAGCTGCCTCGATGCCTCCAGACAGAGCATTTCTTTTCTTTTCTTTTCTTTTTTTTGGTGAGGCAATTGGGGTTAAGTGACTTGCCCAGAATCACACAGGTAATGAGTGTTGTGTGTCTGAGGCCGGATTTGAGCTCAGGTCCTCCTGACTCCAGGACCGGTCCTCTATCCACTGCATCACTTAGCTGTCCCTGGACAGAGCATTTCTTAAGTGCGTTCTATGTGCCAGGAAGTGTGCTAAGTAATGGGACTACAGACATAAACAAGGACAATAGGACTTGAGGACTCCATTATAAGATCTGAGGAAGTAACTGAGAGTGATGGGTCACCTGCAGCAGGTGATGGGGGTGGGGGGCGAGCTTCCACAGTATCTGTCATACCCTTCTCTTGCCTGATGCTACCATATTGAAAATCAGGGGAATGATATGAGGGGTGTCTGCCCTATCCCAATTTTCCTTCTCTTAGGCAGGTATGGTCACAGTTTCCTCAAGGACCATGGTGCTGCTTTGATAGTCAACAGTTGAGTCTGTGCTCTTTGAAGGGGAGGGATCAGTAACAAGGAATCATCCCAGACAGCGGGTAACCCAAAAGTCATTTCTGTTTGACACAGGTATACATTACAGTTTTTAGCAGACTTTTCTTTCCAAATACATTTGACATAGACTAATATGAAAATGAGTTTGCAGTTCCTGTGCACAAAGTCGCTTGGCATTGGGCTTGGGCCATAGGTAAGGTTGCCAGGTGCCACTTCCCCAGATCTGAGGGGACCAGGCGTTAGGTCTAGGAATAGGCCAAGAGTTAGAGCTGCTTCTGCAGGAAAATGAGACTCAAGAATCCAGCTTCAGGCTGAGTCAAGAGAACTTCAGGGATTCTTGCTGACTTCCCAAGAAACTCTTGTCTAACACAAGCCAGTAAGACTGTCTGTATTCTGGGTGCCTGACACCAGGCTCCATTCTCTCCTGGACAGATAGATCAGTGCTGACCAAGGGTCTAAAAACTGAGCCCTTGGAGGTCCTCATGGAATGAATGAATGAATGCAAACGTATTTAATAAGCGCTTGTTAGGTGGTGTACTTGATAGAGATTTGGTCTTGCAATCAGGAAGACCTGAGTTCAAATCTGCCTCAGACACTCATGAGCTATATGATTCTGGACAAATCACTTAATCTCTCTCAGCCTTAGTTTGCTCCTCTGTAAAATGGGAATAATAGCAACAGCACCTACCTCCCAGGGTTGCAGTAAAGACCAAATGAGGTAATGTAAAGTGCTTTGCAAACCTTAAAACACTCTAGAGATATTTGCTGTACTTTGTGCCAAGCACGGTGCTGAGCCCTGGGGATATAAATGCAAAAGCAAAGATGGTCCCTGCCATCTAGAAGCTTATATTCTGATGAGAAAGACAGCACACATAAGGGAGTGGTGGTCTGGAGGTACACTTTGGTCCTGGATATTAGAGATTGTGAATGGGACTGTGAGAGAGAAGGTTGACATACCCCTTCTGTGTGTTGACACACAGTGGCAGAAGTGATTTGATCATGGTTATAGAGCTGGAGGTAGGAAAGAGGGTAATAGAGTATCACGACTGTTGAGAATGGAGTGGACACTGCCCATTTCTGCTTATGGGAGAGTTGGGGTTGTCCTCCATGCTTATTGGATTCTGCTGTGGCAAAAGTTCCAGTTTAATGAAGAGTAAGGGAACTATTAAGGAGCTGACTTCTGCCTCAGTTTCCCCTCTCTCTAAAATGATTTTTTTTTCTGGAATGATCAGAGATGAATATAAAGTTTTATTTGTGATTTCATTCTAAACATAGAGATTTTTTTAAATGGTGCCAGCTTGTTTATGAGGCACCAGTCAGATTTTGCTTACACCGTCTTAAAATGGAAAAGGCAACCCAAAGGGGCAGAGCTCTATAATCTCTAGGGTCCCTTCTATCTTCTCCACTCTCTTCTGCTGTTTTAAGGGTAGAGAAGGGATGAAGCCTGGGGCTAAAAATTTGTTGCCCATAATTCCGAGCGGATAACCAAGAGTTGATTATGTATCAAGATGACTATTTATTAATTAGCTCCTCTGAGCATAGCACCAGAAGGAAGAGGAGTCTGAGGCTCCATGGACTTCTTTCCCTGGGAGGGATTGTTAAGCCTTGTCTGTTACTGGTGACCAAGGGAAGTTGGGGATTATTTAGAAGAAAGAGAGCTTAATCAGTTTGGGCCCTGTAAGCATGGGAGAGGCCTCTACCACGGCAATTTTTCTCTGGATTGACAACCCTCCTTGGACCACATAAAAGTGTCTTGAGTGAAAATGCCCGGCTCCACATTGGCCAGCAGCTGGCTTTTTCTTTTGCAGGCTCAGTGTTGACAGAATAATTCAGACACAGGGTTCTATTTATACACCAGCAATAGAATGTGCTCTTTCAATGATATATTTTCAGTGATGGGGATGGATTTGTGAGTGCTCTTTGTGACTTGATGACAGCCACTGGGATTGAGAGTGAAGCGAGACCTTGGAATAGAGATATTTCTTTCCTTCATGTGGGACTGTGGGCTCCCCTGGTATTAGATCTGTAACCTTGACCTTGTCAACACCATTTAGTGCAATTCTGGAAGCATGTATTAAATCTCCACTGTGTGCCCGTCACTGCTAGGTGATAGGGGTACAAAGACAATAAACGAAAGAATCTTTGTCCTCAAAAAGCTTACGTTCTTTTAGAGGGGCACAAGAGGTATATGAAATAATTTGACGGGGAGGGGGTATGTAGACAATACCAACACCTAGGTGGAATCAATGTAGGTGGCACAGTTTAGAGAGCTCTGGGATTTAAGTCAAGAAGACCTGAGTTTGAATCCTACTTTACTCAGTAAACATCTATTAAATGTCTACCAAATACTATTCACTGTGCTAAGTGCTGGGGATACAAAGAAAAGCAAAACAGTTAATACTCATTTGGTTACAGACAAGTCTAACCTCTCTTTTAAGCCTTAGCTTTTACCCATCCATGAAATGGGGACAATAGTAACACCTACCTCCTTAGTGGTAGTAGTGGTAGTAGTAACCTCAGTACTGGTAGTAGTGGTAGCACTAACCTCAGTAGTGGTGGTAATAGTAACCTTAGTAGTGGTGGTAGTAGAAGTAATGGTGGTGGTGGTGGTAGTAGTAGTAGTGGTAGTAGAAGTAGTAGTAGTAGTAGTAGTAGTAATGGTGGTAGTAGTGAGCTTAGGAGGAGGTAGTGGTAATAATCTTAGCAGTGGTGGTTGTGGTGGTGGTGGTAGTAACCTTAGTACTAGGTAGTAGTAGTAGCTATGTTTGTAGTAGGGGTGGTAATGGTAGTATAGTAGCATTGGTAGTAGTAATAGTAGTGGTAGCAGAAAAAGGTCTTTTATTGGGAGGTGGCACCTGAGTTGAGACTTTAAGGAGCCCAAGGATTCTGGCAGCCAGAGGTGAGGGAGGAGAGCATTGCAGGCATGAGAGATAGCCCTCTAAAGAGCCCAAAGGCAAGAGTTAGAATGGCCCGTCCAGGGACTAGCACAGAGGCTGGTATGACTGGGACGTAGTCTATGGAGGGTAGTAATGTGAAATAAGGTTGATAAGAGAGGGTCTGAGTTACTGAGAAAACCAGGCCAGATGTTTTCCCTCCAGAAGTTAGAAGACAAGAGAAACTTATTTAAGTCATGGTCATTTGCTAGTTGTCTCACTCTACTATCTGGTTTGAATGATGCCCCAACCTTTTCTAACAAAGACACTTTCTTGGTTTGTTTCTGGTTCAGAGAACGGATGGGACGGGAGAGAGAAAGAGTGTGTGTGTGTGTGTATGTGTGTGTGTGAGATCAAGGTGCACAGTCATCGTGAAAATCCAGTAGCATTCATTCACTGTTACCAGGTGGGTTTTGCTATTGAAAATATTTCCTTGATAGCCAAAAACAGGGGAGATAACATGGCAAAAGAAAACCACCTGGATACCCAGCCTCTTTCCCCTCCCTAAACTTGACCTGGGGAGGAGCTGGCCCTGCCTGTTATTCCACTTTCCCTGCTTCTGGCCAGGTCCTTCAGAGGCCATGTGGTTCTTTCCCTTTACTCAGCCCAGCCTGGGTCATTTTATATCAGAATTTCGGTGAAGTGTCAAGAACCTTGAGCTGGGAGTCAGGACATCCAGTTTCTATGCCTGACTGTGCCTATCAGTGATCATACTTAAGGCAGGTCACTTCATGTCCCTAGGTGTCAGTTGTTCTTTTATCTTTTGGGTTAGAACAAATGAGCTTTCCAGTCCTGAACCAGTCTAAAATATTGATTTTTCTCTTTTGCTTTAAAAAGAAAGAGGAAAAAAAAGAAAGAAAGGAATACCCCTTTCTACATCATTCCCCCACCCACTCAATCAATTCTTAGGAAATTCTTCCTGGTATATAATTTCAGTCTTTCCATGTGCTGTTTTGGAATTGGAAAAATACTGTGAGGGGCAAGTAGGTGGCACAGTCAGGAGGGTGCGAGTTCAAATCCTGTCTCAGACACATAACACACGACACTTACTAACTGTGTGACCCTGGGCAAGTCATTTAACCCTGATTGCCTAGCCAAAAAAAAAAAAAAAAGCACTGTGTAATTTAGACATGGAGTAGGAAGCATGCTAAGAGGGGAGAAGAGGGTGGCAGAGAGGAGAAAAAGACTTGTTGGAATCTGTGGAGGTAGGTAGTGAGTCCCAGAAGTAGAATTTGAACCCAGACCTTCCTAATTCCAGGTCTAGCGCTCTATTCCTTAGACATGTTCTCCCTCATGAAAAAAGACTTAAGGACAGTTTGCATGAGATGCCTCAGTAGGTATAGTTGAACCTGGTGCCAAGCATAGACTTAGGGCATGGGGACCATTAATGGTGGATTAGGTTCGTTGGGGTTTGTCCGGAAGGGGAGTCAGTCTTGATGTTCCAGTGTGGATTCCCCGGATGGTCCTAGCCTGGCTTATCTGCCTCTGAAGCAGAAAGGGAGCTCTTTATTTTGTTTCCCCAGGGGGCAAGTCCGCCAGTATGAGCATTGGTGGAGTTTGGGGAGTCTGATGTGTTTGTATATGTAGCTGAGAATGGGTTTTGGCTAATTAGCAGACTGCTACTATTTAAACTTAATCTTAACGTGGTGGGTATTGGGGAGGGTATGGCTCGGGGAGGAGAACCCCAGAAGTTTGTGTTCAGGGATACTTCTTGAGGACAAGAATTGTTTCAATTTTATCTTTGTGTTCAACCCCAGTGCCTAGAACAGTGCCTGGCATAGTAGGTATGTAACAAATGCTTGTTGATTGATTGAGCTCAGCTCTAGCCCGCTGAAGTTATTGTGAAATGGGTAGGAAAAAAGTTTTGTTTCTCTTTTGTCCCATCCTTCCAACAACTGCCATGCAATTTCCTTATTCAGGCTTTACTTTTTCTGTTAAACCTTCCCCTATTTTCTCAATAACGCAGGTTTATCTCCTCAGTTCTTCTTGACACTTAGCCATTCCTCCGCCCTACTGTATCTAGCCAGTTACCCTATATTGAGTTTTAGCCACCTCATTCTCATCTCTTTCCTTCTTTCCCCTTTCACTGTAAGGATCCTGATTCAGGACCTCATCACTTCTTGCCTGAACTATTACAAAAGCTTCTCAACCAGTCTAATTGCTTCCCTCCTCTTCCCCTTTTCAGTGCATCTTGGACACATGTCTGACGATGTCACTTTCCTCTTGTTAGGTGGCTGTCTCTAACTCTGCAGTGTGGTGTATAAACCTGTGCCATAATCTGGCTCCCACCTGCCTTTCCACACTAACATTACTCTCCTTCATGTACCATATTCTAGTCCAGCTGGCCCACTCCCTGTTCTCCAAACTCAACATGCCATCTTTGGACTTCTTGCCTTGGGCTGGAATGCACTTCTTCCTCACCTCCTCAGTATCTCTAGCTTTCCAAGGGGCAAGGGACACACACACACACACACACACACACACACACACACACACACAAATGTGTGCTACCCTTTACATAGACAGACTCCTCCTTCCCTTACCAGTTGTTAGTAAATTATATTTACTTGTCTGTGTCTATGATGTATCTCCCTAATAAAATGTCAGCTACTTAACGGCGGGGACAAGTTTATTTTTGTCTTTTCTGTCCTCTAGTGTTTAGCACAGTGACTTGGACAGAATAGGCACTTAATACATACTTTGACTTGAGTGGAATTCTACAGCACACCCCTGCAGATGGCTGTGGGGTGAGTTTTTCCCAGTTACCAAGTGACCATTCCATATTTTAGGCCACGCTTAGCCAGTACCAGAGAGAGGCTGAGACGAGCAGTTCTGCCCTTCAGAGAGTGGAGAGCAGCTTGGAGCAGAAAGATGCAGAAATTCTCAAGCTTCAGAGGTGCATGTTGGGGATGGAGAAGGTGACTATTGAGTTCTTTTGGATTTCAGGTCCTCAGAGCTAGGAGGCCCCTTAAGGTATGACCCTAGTCCACCCCCCTGCCTTAGGGCATTTCTGCTGACCTGCACATTCAGAGAGAGCTATCTTATTTTTAAAGGGTTCCAGAAATGGACATCCCCCAACCTCCTTTGGTAGATGCTTCCTTGTTTCTTTCCATGTTTGAAGGCCAGGAAGTTCTTTCTCCTGTCACACTTTAGCCTCCCCTATTACTGGTGAAGCCTCTTTATTTCCAGCTTGTACATCTCCCTTATATAGGCTTGGAGACTGTTCTGAAGTTGGCACTTGCTGCTGGGGCAGTGGCAACCAGAGTTGGCAGATGAATCTGCCCTGGATTCATCAGGGCTGGGTTTTCCCGGAGGGCAGTAGGGTGAGGCCGGGAGGTTTCCGAGCCCAGTTACTAGAGGAGGGTGGGAGGGACAGGTTCTTGATTTCAGCAGAGGGCACCCCATGAAACTAGCTTGGCCTGCCTGCTCCTGTTTGGCAGCTGGCCTTAGTCCCTACCGTAGGATTCTCCCTGGACCAACTAGGGAGACAGACGCCTTCCCCTCATCCCAACTTTGCCTTCCTCTGCTCTGCCTAGGAGCAACAGAACTTACTGGAGAAGGTCAGGGAAGGGGAGACGGCCCTGGAAGAGCTTCGGACTCAGACTGCTGACTGCCTCGCAGAACAGGAAAAGTAAGGGCGCCTGCTTGCTCACTGTGCGGTTGGGGCGGGGGTGTTGCACTGCGGTGGCTCTCACAAGGGCCAGATTTGGGGTGGGAGCTGCTGCTGCAGCTGCTGATGTCACACCTTCCTAGTCTGACTCATCCACATGCTTCTTCAGGGTGTGGCCTACTCCTAGGGAGAGGACACTGCATCTGGGAGCCAGCACCATCTTTGGGGAGGCAGTTGGCTTGGGAGTCACTAGCTCGCAAGGAAGCTCTGGTCATTCGAGCCACGGCTAAGAGTTATTGATTAACTGCCGAGAGTTTAGTTAGGACATGGGCCTACTTGTTATAAACCTAGCACAAAATAAAACCTGATTCGTGCATAAGAGAGGTGCAGAGTAACGTATGTATCATCAACCCAGATGTTAAATACCTATCGTGTGCAACACACCCTGCCAGGTGCTGGAAGAGATGCAAAATTTGGACATGATAGAGACCCCGCCCTCAAAGAGTTTATAGGGTGTATGAGGTCCACAGGGAGCAAGGGCACCACTGACTGGGGGGAGTCAAAGCAGGCTTCCTGGAGGAAGTGACATTTGAAATTGGCTTTAAAGGAAGAAAGCATAAGTTTTTAGCAAGAAAGGGGTAGAGGGCAGGTAAAGTACAGATCACGTATGGGATACAAGTAATAGTCCAGTTCAGACCAATCATGGATAGAGAAAGGAGTATCCTGAGAAAAATGTAGAGAGGCAGTTGTTTTTGTTAAGTCATTTTTCTGACTCTGACCCCATTTGGGGTTTTCTTGGCAGAGACACTGGAGTGGTTTGCCATTTCCTTCTCTGACTCATTTTCCAGATGAGGAAACCGAGGCAAACGGGGTTAAGTGACTTGCCTAGGGTCACACAGCTAGGCTGGATTTGAACTCGGGGAGTCTTTTGTCTCCAGGCTTGGCGCTCTATCTCCTTCACCACCTAGCTGCCCCACAAAAGGACACTACTGAACAACACCACCAAGGGCAGTTGTACAGGGCCTTATGTTCCCAGGCATCAGAATTTAAATGTTGATTTGGTGAATTCATTGAAGGATTTTGATTAATGAAGTGGTGTGGCCAGATCTTCACAAATGAAAAAGGAGTTTGACTGCAGACTAAAGGACGATGTTAGAGGGTGAATGTGAGTGGAAACAGCAAGACTTGTTTATGGAACTCCCTGTCACTGGAAGGGTTCCAAGGGAGATTAGACGGGTGACCTGAGGCGGTGCGATAGAGTGGGAAAGGGGAGTCTTCATTTGCAATCCTGGCTCTGAAGCTTAATAGTATGTGGTCTTGGGCAAATCACTTGATCGGTGGTAATACAAAGCCTAAAATCTTCCCTGAAGAGTTTACTTAGCAGAAAGTGGGAGGAAGCACGGGCTGGGTTGGTGTGGTAGACTTAATATATGCACGGCCATACACGTACAAAGTCATTTCAAAAAGGAGAGGGAACTGACAGGTTGGGATTAGGAAAGGCCTCATATAGGAAGCAGAAAATGTGCAGAGCCTTGAAAGAAGCTAGAAAAGGTATATTTAACCAGCAGAGAGGCAAAAGAAGGGATTTCAACCATGATTGGGGAAGTAAATTCAAATTATCTCTAATTTAATTAATAATAAATAATAATGAATAAACTACCATCTACTTTCCATATAATCAGGGGGACAGAGAAAGCCTATATCGTTGAAGCATACCAAGTAATACCAAATTAGGCCACTCTGAACCCTAGGCCACTGAGGAATTTCTGGCCTCTTTGTGCTATCGGCCATAAACGGTAACAGAAATAAACTCTCAACTAATGAAACTGATGAATCACAGATCCAGTTTAATGTTGTTATGTTGGATATGGTCTAAACTATAAATTTTTTTTTTTTTGGCCATTACATCATAATTCCCATCACAGTCTTTGAGGATAGAGCTTTCTTGAGGCTTTTATCCTGGTGTTACTGGCTCTAGATTTTAAATTTAGGTCAGCCATGGAAAATCTAAACATTTTATTTTTAGGCCTTTGCTTTTGTCATGTGCCTCTCTGACCTAATCTGTTTCCAGAGTAGGTCAGAAACTCAAAGATCTAGGAAAAAAAAAAGAAACTCAAAGATCAACTAAGTTATTTTGGGTTATTCCCTTTCCTTTTCTTCCTGTATTGGAGGCTTGAGTTAATAGAAGCATAAGAGGAAGAAACCAAAGGGCCTGTATAAATCTATATATGATTATTTGGTTATTAGGGATTTTAGGAGAAAGAAGGGAGGGAGAGAAGGAAGGAGGAAAGAAGGAAAGGGGAGGGAAAGAAAGAAAAAAGGAAGAGGGAAAAAAGGGGAAAAGGAGGAACGGAGAGAGAAGAGAGGAAGGAGGGGAGAGAAAGAAAAAAGGAAGGAAGGGAAAAGAAGGGAGAGAAAGAAAAGAGGAAGTTCCTTTTAAATTGTTTTAGTTACTTTACATATTGTTTTGTTGGCTCTGCTTACTTCACTCTGCACCAGTTTATATAGATCTTTCTGTGCTTCTCTGTATTCATTCATTACATTCATCATTTATTTTTGGGTTTGTTTTTTTTTTTCAGCCCAAGGCAAGGTTTATTAGAATATCCATCATATTGGGCAGACTCTTAAGGAGCCTGAACATTAGTGAGCTATTGGCTAGACTTTAAGAATGTGAGCAGTGGCTAGATTTTAATAATCTAAGCCCATCATTTCTTATAACACAATAATATTCCATTACATTCATGTGCCATGATTTGTTTAGCCATTCCCCAACTGATAGATATCTACTTTGTTTCCAGTTCTTTGCTATCAAAAAAAAAATTGCCACTTTAAGTAATTTGGTATTTTGGAGACTTTCTTCTTATGCTGTCCTTGGGAGATAAGCCCAGTAATGGAATCTCTGAGTCAAAAATATGGGCGTTTTAATAATTTTATTTACGTCATTTCAAATTGCTTTCCAAAATGGTTGTACAAATTCACAGCTCCGCCAGTAGTGTAGCGGAGACTCTATCTTTCCACAACCCCTCCCAACATTGATTGTTGCCATCTGTTGTTATCTTTGCCAATTTTCAGGATGTGAAGTGAAACTTCAGAGTTTTTTGATTTGCTCTTCTCTTATTATTAGTGAATTGGAGCATTCTTTCTTGTGGATGTGAAAATTTGCAGTTTCTTCTCTTGAGTGTTCTCAAGATGTTCATGCCCTTTGACCACTTATCTACTGGGGAATGGCATTTGGGGTGTGTGTGTTGTGTGTGTATGTGTTTATTATTGTTTGTTTATATTTATCTTGGATGCTAAGCCTTTATCATAGAAATTTGGTACAAAGATTTTTTCCCTACTCAACCACTCTCCTTATTCTAGATGCATTAATTTTGTCTGTGCAGAAGTTTTTTGTTTTTATGTAGTTAAAGTTATCTATTTTATCTTTTGTAATTGTCTCTGGCCCTGGTTTGGTTAAGAATACATCTCCTATCCATAACTGTGAGAGATATTTTAATTGGTCTTCCTTCCTCTCTGTTTTCTCTCTCCAAATCATCCTTGACTCCGCTAGCAAAGTGATTTTCCTAAAGCATGGGTTTGCCCAGGTCTCCAACACACACAACCCAATCAATAATTCCCGAGGGCTCCCTACTGTCTCCAAGATCAAATATAAATCCTCTGTGGCATTTCAAGCCCAGGGGTGGGGGGAACCTTTGGCCTTCTAGATCTTTAAGTGCGGCCCTTATAGTCAAAAGGATCTAGAAGGCAGAAGGTTCCCCACCCCAGAAGCCCTTTCCTTCATTTCAAGTCTTATACTTTACTCATAATCGAACTCCAGTGGTCTGCTTACTAGTTCTCACCAGAGCTAGTGTTCTATCCACTGCCATTTAGCTGCCTACATGTGTAAAAACCACTTATATTACAGGCTATGTAGCTTATATAAAATCCGATCTGTAACATACATGTGGAATAGGCACATGCCCAGCAGGCTGCAGTCATACTTCACTCCCCCCTCAGCCATCTTCTCTGCCCTGCTCCTCCCCCACTCTCTAGTTCTGGGACTATAATCAAATCAACTCTGCCCTCTAGCAGGGGTGTGTCACCCTACTCATCATCCTAGTAACTTTCTGGACCGATTGGGCCCCCTCCCTGGCCACCACTCCCCAAAGTGTAGTCTACTCTATGAGAATGTAAGTTCCTTAAGGGCAGGAATTAGCTTTCCTTTGGCATGTGTAACCCAGGGCTTAGCACATAAAGTGCTTAATAAATGCTTTTTTATTCATACTAACATGTGATTAAACCATTTTAACAGTTAGCCGTATAAAATGCAGATTTTTCCAAATAAAAGAAATTTGAGAAAGAGAAGAATAGAGAATTAAGGTAGAAAAAGAGGAAGTTTTTGGAGCTTAAACCCCTAGGCTTATCTTGTCTTTGAGACAGAATCTTAGATTTCTAGGTTTTAGGTATCCTTCGCTGTTACCCCAAAAAGAGGTTGGGGATGCAGCTACAACATAGTGGAACCTTCCATCAGGCTGTCTAGTTTGGTTTCCCAGTAGAGTTGGACTCCCTCACCTTGTAAAAAAAAAAAAAAAAAACCAGTCACCAGCGTTTGTGCTTCTGAGACCTAGGAAAATAGCAGCAGCAAGCTGGAGTCTCATGGAACATTCTTCTCAAGTGTCTTGGCCTTCTGGGGATTTTTGGTTCTGTCTGCTTTGAAGATATCATGTGATACAGTAGAATATCTGCTGGCCTAGAAGTTAGAAGCCTTAGGTCAGTCTTGGCTGAGCCTCTCAGCTTTATGACCTGTACTTTAATAAGTTACTTCTGATTAGACCTCACTTTCCTTGTCCAAAAATGAGGAAGAGGAGGAGGCTAGGTCCTCTGAGGAAGGAAACCGTTGCTGGTCTTCCAAGCAATAATATAATAGAACAACAGCAGCTATTGGGTGAGAGATCCTCCAGGAAGGGTCAGAGGAAGAAGTGGTACTGAGGCAATTGTTGGTTGACCTGATAACTACCAACAATAGACCTATTTTCTTCCTG